AAACCGGTTGTGCGGCTCCCAGTGCCAGCGCCTGCTTGCTCTTACCGTGTCATAATTGCCCCGCGTGCCATCCTACAACACCCCGCTCACCGCACAAAGTCGCGCCATCGCTGCCGATGACGTCGTCGAGGTCGTTCTCCGTACGTGCGCAGGTCTCGGTCAAACATACCACTAACAGAAAATACCCCTAATTCTCGCTTAATATAAATAAGTATTAATAGTATTATTAGACAAAACGACCAATACCCGGCCGACTTTATGATCAACAGCGAAAAAGAATCACGCGCGCCTTAAACCTACGCGCCCACACACTCTCTACTCTAGTCAACCACCCAGTCAACGTAAATCACAGACGTGGCCGCGCCTAGCGCGGTATACTTAAACTTTAACCCAGACTATTTTCTGTTGCATGCAAAAAACAGGGCGGATACCCTTGGAAGAGTATTCACGCCGACAGCTTACCGGTCCATATTAAGCGACGTCCCCGTCGCTTTACCACATCAAAAAGCTATAAATTCAGACACACTCCAAATGCTGATGAAAAAGGAGCCAATCTGATCAGCCGACAAACACAGGGTAGAGGTCTCCATCAAACCATGCCTTCACAACTATATGTTGCCAGGTTTCTAACCCGTGCCTCTCACCGCCCAAAAATTAGGACGCCGAAACATAAGTTCCAAAGGCCTTCCCAATCGTCCTCTCCCCGGTTCTAGACAACCTTCGGCTTCTCGTTGGGTGTCCCTAGTCCTGGCCAAAACTAGGGACGCGGGTCCTGACCGAGACCTTTGACGGCACTCTCGCCTTCCGTCTCAAAAAAAAAAAAAAAAAAAAAAAAAAATCTCTCGCAATCAAATACACATACGTATATATGTATACTTAATATTCACTCAGCCCTTTCTGCAGTCTAGTACAGAAAAGCTAGGTCTCTATCTTGGCCCACCAAAGCCTGGCTGATCGGACCAGGACTACGGCCCACCGCATTGTTATCGCAACGATAGGTTTTCTCCTGATAAGCATCCAATCAGAATTCCCCTAAAAGTTTTCAATCATCACTATCCCGTGGGGTAATTTCACTGGGGCGGGCAACCCCCCTCAAACTGTTACCCACGCGGTCCCGCAGCCAGGTTGCGCCGGCTAACAGCCATCCAATGGGGTTACGCCCTAGAGGTACTAACTTCTTTTCCGTTAGCTTGGTCTTTCTTCAATATGTCTCAGAATTAGCACCAGTGGTTGGACGGGGTATCGCAAAACAAAATCACGGGCCTACTGCGCGATACGCAGAGGTCCGAAGGCATTTACCAGCCCTCCCTCACTAGGCATGGCATCCTTCGCATGCTTACAAACAAAATCACCGCTAAATCCACCATGCCGTGACCCCTGACTTTATCAGAGCCAGCAACCACCCACCCTGAGACATCTCTCGCCCTGCACTCATTGTGACTTTCTCAAACATTCCAAACAAAAGTGGCCCTTTTCGTCAGACTTTTATCACTCTTTAGACAACTTTTCATGCCATAAATCAGTTACTCACTTTTGAAGGTGAGTCTTCCCGCAACAAACACATCCCCTTTTCCAAAAATCCAAGGGGTTTTCCTCATAAACAAAACACCTCCTCTTCCATAATCCAAGTGGGTTTATTATAAACAAAATCATTGAGAGACTATCTTATGGGTCCTCATCACAACTTAGGCAACCAATAATCAACATGGTAAGCATTTTGAGCCTCCAGGGCTCATAGATCTTCAAAATCCTCACAACCGTTCACAGACGGGCTGCACTTCCTCCCCTTATACTCTGCCCTATCAGCTGCCCGTGGGCAGGTCGCATAAGTATACCGAGGAGTAGACAGTTTTGCTTATAATCATATTTACAGTACCCATGACACATAACATGTTTTCCACACATTGTCCACTCAAATTCATCATTCATCAGAGCATAACCACACATGTGAGAGAGACAAATGATCGTCACATATAAGAATGGTCCATGAAATAAAACCTCATCATAGTATACACTCAGGGAATAGAATGTCTTATACAAAAAGTGTCTCCAAATTATAGCTCACTCAACTCAAGCCACATCAAATCTACACTGACAACAACCCCTAGAATACATGTCAGATCTGTGTCTCCAAGGCCAGGGCGTAGGCCACCTAAATATGTACATGCCTCATCTAAATCGCTCTGATCCTCAAGATCCTAACTCAGTAGGAACACTAGAGTTCAGATTTAGACTAATAGGAATCATCAAAAAAGTCCTCTAAGTCTAAGAGGGTATCACACAGAACCTAAGCTGATGCCTCACAAGATACTCGCCCACTTACATAGACAAACCGGCCCTACCACCTCAACTCCTCCTGGTTTTACCTATATAACTGAGTCCTAAGTCCATCTGCGGACTTCTCTACTATCTTACCCTGTCTATCATGCATCTTACCCCCTGCCTCTGAGACCTTCCCTGCTGCCTTATCCTCAAGGAACTCGAGACAGTCCAGAGCACGATGCACGTCCTTCTTGCAGTAGAAACATAGCTGATCTACCTTCCTCTTGAACTTCTTTTTCCTGGGCCGAGGAGATGGCGATGAAGGAGATCCTACCAAGGTACTGAGAACCTCCTGCTGCTCTGATCGAGGGGTTGCGGTACTAACGACCTCCTGCTGCTCTGTTCCAGGAACCGGTCCCCTAGACCCAGATCCAGTAGCCCAAGATCCCAGTCTGCTCTTCAAATCCCCTGTCGTTGGGACGTACTCAGGCGTGTCCAACCTCTGAGGTCTCCTCTCGAGTGTCTCTCTTGGCACTGTCCTGGGCTGCTCCTCAATCTCCTCTGGTCTATACTCAGGTGTGCCCATCCTCTGGAGCCTGCTCTCGATGGCACCCTCCGCCTCAATCCCCATCTCTCTCTCTCTCTCTCAAGCGGCTCCTCTATCCTCTGCTCGGGTGAAAACAAACTCGCCTCTTCCTGCATGGTATGCACTGCCTCAAGGAGTACGCCCATGGATCCCTCTGCTGACCCGTGAGCCGGCTCACTGCTAGATGGCGGTAGCCCCTCCTCAATCACCAAAGGTACGACTGGGCTTGCCGCTGCCACTGGCAGCGTCGCGAGCTCAGTAGGGACTCTAACTCGAACGTCTCTCTCTCTGCCTGTCTCTGGGCTCTCGCCTCCTCTGGCTCCAGGATAACTCTCCCCATAGGTGGCTCTTGGCGAGACCCTGCCGCAGATGGCTGTCCTGGCAAAACTTGTCCCGGCTGCCTCTGCTTTTGCTGTCTGCTGCTCTCTGACTTATCCACTTTTTCTTGGGTTTGCTGCCTCAGACTCTCAATGATAGCTGCCTGACTGACCACCAATGCCCTGAGTTCCACGATTTCCATCTCCATGGCCTCCAGGCGTACTCCATGGCTTGTTTCTTTTAATTTTTTCCCTGCCAGATTGCCTTCCAATAACAAGTGTCGGTCAAAGGTCGTTTTGGCCAGGAACTTGATTTTGCGATCAATCCTCTCTTCCGCCTTCCTGGCCACCCCAAGCCCGGCTCTAACTGGCGAAAGAAGCTCCTCTCCTCTCTGCTCCCAGAAGTCTCTCCACATCTCAGGGATCTCCGGGGCTCTAGCTGGTGCGCTGGGTGGCTGACCTGGGAGTGCTTCTGTTGCCTCCGATCTCTGCCTCTCCTGTTGCTGCTACGGAAGCTCCCCTGCTGCCTCCAACCTCTGCCTCTCCTGCCATATCTCATCTATGCGTCTGGTTCTTCTCGCCCTCTTTTCTTCAGCCGTCTCTCCAGCTGGCGCCCTTTCCCTCATGAGGAGGTCGACCCTCTTGGGGATTTCTGCTTCCATCTCCTTCTCGGGTTGGTACGGCTCCTGGCGCGGCTCTGCAGGTGCTGGCTTCTCCAGGTGAGGATGCTTCAGGGCATAAGCTGCTAGGTGCCTATCAATCAGGGTCAAGGCTTCCCTCCTTACAGTTGCCCTTTCTCTTCTCCTGCCGGCTCTCCCCTCTGGCAATGGAGCCCTCTCTGATGAAGGAAGTGAGGCCTCCTCTCTCCGCAATCTCTCCTCTGCCTGACGAATGCTCCCTGGTGCATCCCCGAGTCTCAAACTCACCGCTAGCCTCTGTGGGGGCGTGTCCTCTCCAACCTCTATCACTTCCTTCCCTGCACGTCTCCCCACGTCGCCCAGCCTGCTCTCTCGCTGAGTACCATGCGCCTCCTCTCGTGGCACCTTCTCTCGTGGCACCTCCTCTCTTGGTACCTCCTCTCATGGCACCTCCTCTTGTGGCACCTCCTCTTGTGGCACCCCTTCTACTTGCTCTTCATGCTTCTCATCCTGAGGCGACGCTCTCCACTGAGAGATATCCAGATGCGTCTCCAACTCCCTCAACGACCCTTTAGACACTGGCAGCTCCTCCCGTGTGTGTGCTGGTGACCTCTTCAATCCACCCTCAGTAAAACGATGGAACTCCACTGGTCTCAACCCATACTCAGGGTATGCCCCTCGCTCCTCAACCTCTGGCTCCCGCTCCGGCTCCTCCTCTCTCCTCGCTAGGGCCTTCCGTCCTCCCCGAGACGGTCTCACCTCCATGGGCTCAGGGTCCTTCGACCTCTGACTCCTCTAACGTATCTCGACTCTGGGCTGGGAGGGCTCTGGCCGTCGAAAGGCCTCTCTTAGATGTGCCCTGCAACTCTTCCAGTCCCGGGCCATGTCTCTGATTTGGCTAGCGAGCGGCCTTTTCGCCTTCCTGGTCCAGAGTGGTAGCGTCTGCATCCAGTCATCTCTCGGTATGCCCTGCCCCTGCATGAACCACTCAAACGCGGGGATGAAGTTCGACGCATTTTCAATCTCCAGGCGGATCGGACGGCCATCGGGCCCCACAGGCGAGGGTCGCAACTCTTGCATCCTCCACTCCACCTCTGATCTCGTCGTCGCCTCTCTACGGATCCGCACGATGGGCTCCTCGAATCTGCCTGCTCCCCTCAATCTCTCAATCGCCTGAGCCACGGTCCAGCCCATACGTCTCGCATGATCCCAAAAGCTATCAAGGAATAGCTCGATGTCCCCATCATTGTATACCGGAGTACTCTCTCGATGGCGAGACCCATGTCGCTCATATCCTCCTGATGCTCCCAACGGCCTCCGAGGCAGCCGTGTCCCCCTCCCTCCTCTTGGCATGGCTGTCTTCGTAAAGTCAGACCTGCACAACAGGCGAAGGAGACAACAGGCACACATTGGGGTAAGCAAAACAGGTGATAATCAAGCAAACTTATACCAGACCACACTCACACAGCATACACCCTACCTAGCCTACACACCCTGCTACTTCTATTCTAAAGGAAGTCAAGTCGTCTCTCTTACCTCTTCTCTCGCCACAAATTTCTTCAGTCGCGTTCCAAATACCCAATCCTTCCACTCAGCCCTATTTAGCTCCTCAATCTGATACGCTCCGAAGTCTCCGACCCGTACGATCCGGTAGGGACCTAACCACCTCTTATCGAGCTTCCTGGACCATTGCTTCTCCAGTGATGAATCGTAGAGAACCACGACATCTCCAACTGCCAAGGGTACTTTCCTCACCCGCGCAGATTGATCCCATCGAGCCTTATCGTCCATACGACTTCTCGCCACCTGGTCAGACGCCTCCTGGATCCTTTCTTCTATCGCTCCTATCTGCCGCACCCGAATATCGAGCAATTCTTCAAATGACATGTTAACTTCCAGATCCTGGCGCCCCCATGTCTTAAGAAAACTCTTGATAGGGAAGGTGGCGTGCCTTCCATACCACAGTGTCGCCGGTGCGTACTTGGTGGATCTTTTTATTGTAATGTTCTCCACAAAGAACGCCGCCCTTARGTATCTTGGCCATTGATTAGGCCTACCTTCGGTCCACTTAGCCAGGAGACTTGTAATGGTGATATGTCCTCTCTCTACAGGAGCATTTGCCTGGGGGTGCGCGGCCGTGGTGTAGTTGGCTGCTACACCATACTTTGATAACAGTTCTTGCACCTCTTGGCAGGTAAACTCCGATCCCCTGTCCATTACGAATTCCCTGACGAAAGGGTAACGCAGGTAATATTCCTCGATGCAGCTCACTAAGACTAACCCGGTCTTGGTGCGAATAGCACGCCCGTCTACGAACCCAGACAGGTTATCGCGCGCATCGAAGATATAGTTATAGCCCTGATCCCCAAGTGGCATAAAAAGCAGATCGAGATGCACTACGGCCCCCACCTCTCGCTCTAACCTTGGATGCAGCGACTCTCTTTGCCTTAAACGGGATCTCTCCTTGCAGGGCACGCAAGACCGACAGAATTTCCCGACCATGTCCATCATTTCATCCCAGTAGTACAACTCACTTATTTTGGCACACGTGGCTTGTACCCGTCGATGCCCTCCTGCAATGCCATCATGAAGCGCTGCTACGACGTCGATCTGACGATTCCTACCGCAGACGACCCTCCTGGGATTCCCCACTTCTCTTCTCACGAAAAGGTGGCCGTCTTGCACTAAGTAGCGTTGCAGCATCCTCTGAGCCCTATCGCTTGCATCCCTTAGCCGCATTTCACATGACAAAAGAAGCCCCAGTTCTAGGTAGATCCCGTCATACTCCTCTGCACGAAAAGCCTCCTTAATCTCCCCCTCCTCGAACTCGTCGTTCTGGCTCTCGGGCACTTCGTCCACATTTCCTGTCGAGTTCAACGAGCCTGACTGGTCGAGGTCTTCCTGCAATAACGTATTGACGAGGAGATACATTCCTCCCATCAGGTCCTCATGCCGTTCTACCTGGCCAGGTCCTTCCTCAATCGTTCTCATGTCCTCCACCAGGCTATGTGAGCTGGCCAGCGCTAGCTCCATCATCCACTGAACATCCTTACCGCCCCAGGGATCTTCTTCCTCAAAGGGCTTAAGGACTAGCTCATTCCTCCTTTCATACCCCTTCGGCGCTTGCCAGATAGGATAGCCTACACGGTTGGGCACTCTCGGCGACCACTTGTTGATATGAAGACGAACATCTTCTTCATGATCCAGAAATCCATCAACTGGGGGCGTATTCTCCATCGCCTCCCCTTCCTGTTTATCCCAGTTGATCCGACTCAGCCCGTCCGCCCGGTTCTTACTACCACAAATCCGTTCCAATTCGAAATTGAACATCCAGATGTACGTCAGCCATCTGACAACCGTCGGATCCGATGGAACGTAATTCCTTAGAGAGTATGCCAGGGCGGTCGGATCCACTCTCAAAATAAACCTCATGCCGAAGATATAGTTCCGGAAGATTTGCAGACAGTGGAGGACAGCAAGGGTCTCCCTCTTGAACTGAGAGTAGTTCCTCTCCGTCGTACAGAGAGTCTGGCTCTTAAATCGCAAGGGTCTTTCCTTTCCTTCCATGTCTGCCTGAATTAGAACTCCCCCTAAGGCAGTCAGTCCCGCATCCGTTTCGACAATGAAGGGTCGCGTCTCTGTGGCGTCATAATCTGGCGCTCCTAACACCAACCCTCCTTCTCGAAATTCCTCCTTCATTTTTGCCACCATCTCTTCTTGTTCCTCACCCCATACCCATTCCTGATCCTAACGGACTAACTTCCTCAGGTGTTCAGTCTTAGCGGCAAAGTTCTTGACGAAGGCCCTCTAAAATCCACACGTACCAAGGAAGCTCCTGACATCAGTTATTGAGTGGAACGGAACTGGCCACTCAGTAATCTTGTCCGTCTTCTTCGCATCCGGCCTTCGGCCCTTCTCATTGCAGACGATCCTCAAGATAGTCGCTTCCCTCATGCAGTGTCTGGATTTGGCCCCGCTTGCCGTGAGGTTATGCTCTTCGAGCAGGCTCAGGACCTTTTCGAGGTCCTGGATGTGTTTCCAGACAAAGCGCCTTACCCCTAGTGAGACTTCATCGCTCTCTTTCATCGCCGGCCCCTTCACTGCCAAATCGTCAATGTATGGCTGTGTGATATGGTGGCTGACTGACTGCATGACCCGAATCATGGTCCGTTGGACCATTGCTACTGCGTTGGTCCACCCTTGTGGGACCACGTTCATGTGGACTAATCCTCGCGGCGTGTGCATAGCCGTCACCGGCCTATACGGCGGGTAGACTGGGAACTGATCGTATCCTGAATAAAGGTCTATAAGCGAAATTAAAGGCCTTCCAGTACAGGATTCCGACAGCGCGTCTGCATTCGGCAGTCCTCCAGCATCTCGCACGGTCACTGCATTCAGTCTTTGCAAATCCTGCACCCACCGCAGCGTCTCGTTAGGCTTAATAAAGCAGAACCACGGGGACGCATACGGTCCACTTGAATAGTCGGCGACGTGAGTACCTATCTTGCCGTCGCGGTAATCCACCACCTTCCTTTCCTCGTCAGGATTGGGATATCGCGCCGCTCTCATGTTCCAAGGCTCGTGTGGCATGGTGTGGATGCGGATCATAGGTATCTTGTCCACATCTAACCTGCCACGCTCCTTGTCACTAAACGCATAGGCGCGATGCTTCCTCTTCATTAATTCCACCATCAACGTTCGCTCCTGAGGCAACAACTCTTTCTCGTTCCCTTCGTTGATACGACATGGCCCTGTTAAAGCACTTTCCCTCATCCTTCGAATCAACCCTCGTTCCCTTTCGTAATATGCTTCCTCGTCCTCTGTAACGAGGACGGGTACTGGGCGGCACTTCTTATCTACCGTCTTGTACCGCCTTTGGGAACCCTGCTTGAGCCGTCCCCTAAAAAAGACCGACTCACGGATTGTGTTTGCGCTGGTGCGGGGTTCCCTCCGCTGCCTGGCAGCCGATATACCAATTTCAACCTTCCTGTCTCAGGGCATTCCAGAACTTACTCCCTCAAGGCCTTGATGACATCCGGATCTGCCATCTCATGCGCGGCCACCAGGTCCATGGCCTTCCCAACATCTGACAGGCTGAGGGAAAACGCTTTCACCCTCTCTCCTGCTTCGATCTCTACCCAGAGCCTCCTGCGCTCCCCTTCCGACTCCTCGATTGTGAATGATCCTGGATTGGGTTGGTTCGTTATACTCGTTGGCCCGGTATTCCTGCAATTAATTATTTCATAATTCCCGCAGGCAGGATCGCATAAGAGGAGGATCAACGTCCCATCATATTTGTTGAACATCACGGTCTTTGTCCTGCTTGGGAATGACCTCCCAGGAGGATTCCATGGTCCACGTCCGGCATTATGAAGAAGCATGCCCTGACCTTCACCTTTCCAACCTCGATGAGCACATTCGAGGCTGTCCCGCAAAACACGGCCTTACAGCTGGCTCCATGCAGAATACCGCAGTCAGAACGGACTATATCCAGCCCGAATCTGATCGCGTCCGCCTCCCGAATAATGTTCATCTCTGCCCCGGTGTCCACCATTGCTGCGCACTTGGAACCCTTCACTATCAAATCCACCGTACCGCAGGCTACACACTTCTTGTTCATCTTCGTACCTGACTCTGCCCACTTTGCCTCCTTGGGCAGGATCGTACCGAGATGGACATTGGGCACCAGGCGCCGTGATAACCTCCCCTTCAGTTCATCGCGGAGTCGCGGGGCTGACGCTAGGATTTCCTTCATGGTCATGAGGTCATTATGCCCTTCCAGTAGCCAGTCAATCACCTTCTCTACGTCAAATCCCTCTTCCAACCGGACCGCGTATTTCTTCTTTTTGGGCGGTCCGTCATGTATGACCGGTTCGGCCTCTTCCCTGGTTCCCTTTTTCCTTGCCCGCTGCTCCGCTCTCTGATCCTCTTCTCTGCGCAGCCTCTCGTCCTCTTCCATCTTATCCAGCAAGTCCTCCATCTTCTCAAATAAGACGGACGGAGGCTCCGTTCTTCCCTCCTCATCCTCGTCATCTGACTCGTTGAATATGGCCTCTTCCGTCTCACTTCCTCCTCGTAGCCCTTGAGTCACTTCCTCATCGCTTCCCACTTCTTCCACCCCAATTGGTGGTTCCTCCTTTTCCTGCCATAGCCTGAACATGGCAGGGGGTGGCGGCCCAGCTGTCGCTCTTCGTTGGGCTTCAGCCCTCACTCCTCCAAGCCTTCTGTCAATGGCCTCCCCAAACTGATCGTAGATATTCCCATCCATAGTGGAGGAAATCAGTCTGCTTCTCTCGTCTTCCCGTCTTATATTACAGAACCTTATAGTGTGGCCTTGCTGCTCACAATGTTGACAGATGGCCGTCCTCCAGTCAAAACGGGGTCTTCCATACCCCTGCCTTCCCTGGCCTTGATACCCCTGGCCTTGATACCCCTGGCCTTGGTACCCCTGGCCTTGACTCCCTTGGCCTTGGTACCCCTGACCTTGACTCCCTTGGCCCTGGTACCGCTGGCCTTGGCCATTCCATTGCCTACCTCTTCCGCCGCCATTCCTGCCTTGCCCCCTTCCTCCACCCCTCCCTCCGTTGCCTTGATTGCCCTGCCCCTGGTTCCCACCTCCTACAACACTGCCCTGTGAACTTGGATCAGGTGACGGTGGCGGGGCCACAGGTTGGGCCTGGGCCGCAGGGTAGATGGGTGGTGGCATACTCGTTTGCGGTCCGGCTACTGGCGACGGGCTTCCCCATCGCACAATTGCATTGATCATCGGCCAGGGCCACTGTCCGTAGGAGGGCGCCCCACCTTGCGAGGGGCCCGTACTAGATGATGGAGCCGCCACAAATAAAGGGGCTGCTGCCTGGGCCTGAGGCGCCTGCGCTTGTCTTGATCCCTGTCCGCCTTGTGCCAAATTACGCACTTTGCGCTGGACCTTCGTCAGGTGCTGCGGCACCGGCTCTTCCTCTTCCCAGAGCTCCTCCTGAGCAGCCTCCTCTATCACTGGCTCTTTTCCTTTTACTTTGACAGCCGTCACCACCCTCCTTTGCACCACCGACTTTGTCGCATACCTCAGCTGTGCCAATACATCTGTAACAATCCTTGTTACCCCCGGAAGCGGTCGCATCTCTTTCCTTTCTCTTCTGCCTTTGCAGGCGTACCTGACGTTGTTCCACCTGGTCCAAGCGCCCAACTTCCACCCCTCTGTCAATGGTGGCCCAAGTGAGCTTAGTGCTACCTCCTCCATGTCTCGTCAACTCAACGGCCTCCGACGCTGTGAGTAGCCCCAGGAATATGGCGCACTGTGTTTCCTCCGAAATCCCATGGACCTTCCGCGCCCTCTTCTTAAATTCTTGAACAAAGGCCCCTATAGTCGTTAAATCCTCTTTGTTCATCGCTTCAAGGTCCGTGGTAGTCAACAACCCGTCTCCCAGGCGGTATTTCCTCTGCATCCCCTCCTTGAACCTCTCCCAGTTACCTTGAGCCGCATCTATGACTTTCTTCACCTCCTGATGGTAGTTGTGGAGGACATACTAAAGGATGCGTTGAAACTTTACAACATCCGACCGCCTGACCAAAGCTTGTTCCACCTGCTCTAGCCATTATGAGACTCTCTCCCCACAGAAATGGAAAGTATCGACCTTGGGGATGTTGCTCGGGTTCCCTTCATGTCGGTCGATAACCGCGATGAGGTTATCGAGTGTCAGGCCCTTCTTAGGAGCAACCGATGCGCCGCCAGTCTCAAGCATCTTGACAGCCTCTTCTTTTCAAGTTCCCTCGCAAAAGAAAACAAACACATCCCCTTATTCAACATTATACCTTGACCGGTCTATTTCATCCATCCTACCTAACCCCTAGTACTTACTTTACCCAAATGTTAACACGATCGTCCCTCATACTTCCTCTACTTGGGTAGGTAAGTTTCCTCACCTACACTTAGTCATTCATATATTCATTCATTACCTTCTCATCATTCCTTTATGCCTTTTCTTATTCACTTCTCATACCCAGATGTCGTTCCACCTGCGACAACGGTAGGCTTTCCGTTATCCCTGGCAACGGCGCCACCTGTCGGGCGCATCGGTCCGGCACCGCACGGGGGCAGCGCGGGACCCTCCCAACCTTGTCACGCAGGAGTTGGTTTTAAAACCCTTCGTCACAATATACATGGAGCTTCCACAAACCGCTCCGGTCGAGTGCGCCAGCCATACCTCTCGTGAGCCCCTACGACAGGATAGGGCCTACGCGAGGCACGACTTACCTACACCTTACGGGAGCTGTCACCTCCCTTCGATGGGCGTATCCCCGCCGAGCTACCAGCCCATAGTACGAAAGCTAGTCAGTTGCAATCGCAGAGGAAGACCAGCCGAGGGCGTTTCTCTTTCGTTGTAGCACAGGGGTACGCGCGGTAATACGCCTTTATCAAACCCGCACGCGAATCGGCATCTTGGGGGGGGTGAGGTGCCAATCGCGACCCGTCGTCGGTCGACTAGGACGAATCCCACACACCACGCGCACTCCACTTTACGAATACACATGCACACAAAACAACACATATACGAGACGACACAACAYAAACAACGCGACAACGCTCCTAGCCCCTCGGTAGCCAACCCATAACTTTCCAACGCGGAAATCGAATRGGCGTCGCGCGCGAGACTAGGTATAAAAYMGCGCGGACGCAAGRCTATCGCATATCRATTCGCAATGCAATTGTACGCAAGCAGTCGTAATRAAGGCGTASTATGTAGTGCCCATAATCAAGCGGCCCCTCGTAAAATCGAGTACCGCTTATGACACTCGAGTGTCTGACTTGAAKTGTCGTGAGGGCCTAACCCTTCATGACATTGCACGGCTGAAGGAATAGYCGTGCAGCCGCCGCGACACCTCCRRCTYTTGGCCTGAGTGTCWCGGTAGGCAAATCAAATAGGCTCTKCGCGAGGGAAAACCCCTCCCCTGCARAGCCTMGGGCTTGGGGTGTCCWGGRCAAGGACCTCGAATCCYGGCCCAMRAYCAAACGTCCGACTAAGAAAATCATCAAAAARCAGRAACAAAAATAGAASTGGGGGYCTCCCCTAAATTCYTCAGTCCYARCTTCTGAGTGGGGCTTTAATATGGGGACTCTTCAACCCATRCAAACATTCATCCCAAGTATACYCATGTATACGTATATAAGGGTTAAGTATGTGACGATCACTTTTCAYGGTCTCACTGRSGTTTCTCTCAATAATACGTATATGTGTGATCGCAGGCAACCAAATCCAGAATCTGACTCACAACACATACCTGCAGTCACATCAACGAACCAAATCAACAACCCACACRTTAYACGGAGTCAATCCCAACCACCTTCGACACYYATACYCCTCGCTTTAGCCATACAAGCCCCAAAACCTYMTRTCCAACCAACCTTAATTAAATACTCAGTACCTTTRTTAGATGGYCATTCAATAAAAGTSCGRGTGAAAACCTTAATAAAACAACGAAGATCACCAGGGCTAAAGCCTTTTAGGTTGAGTGTGGAGGGAGAGTTGAAATTGAGTCGTAGACCGACGAATCGGCAACCGACCTGTTATTAGTGATAACAGAAAGTGATCCTCAAAAGGATCAAGCTGGATCTAGCCCTGAATTTGAAAAAAAAGGTCTGTAACACACGGCAGACCAATCCCCAAGCTAAGATCATAAGTGCATGGAGAATACAACTTCATAATTCATTCTTGCTCAAAATCTCCTTAAAAGCTAAGCCTAAGCCTATTTTTAAGTCAATGCTTAGGCTTAGGGTAAACCAACTGCAGAATCTCCCTTATTTTGGGTGAGTTGCCTGAATCGCCACCTGTCAAAATACAGTCTATCTCCTTTAAACTAAGAAAATTTCGGCAGCGCTTTCCGTAGAAAAAACGTCTTTCCATAATTTATATAAGTGTAAATATGAAAAAATATAAACAATTTCTAACTCTGGAAAGCCAAATTTTGTCTAACTCCCTGAATTAGTAAACATTTGGGTAGCATCCTCTCTAGAAACGGACACTTTTCAGATTTATACTAAGTTAGATATACAGTAGAAAAACAATCTCTAACTCCTGGAAAGTCAAAATTTGTTTAACTCGCTAATTTAGTAAAAATTTGGGCAGCATTCCCTTTACAAAGGGAGACTTCCCACATTTATACTAAGTCAGGTTTGAACTCACAAGACAAACTTGAGTCCAATTTAGATAAGATTTAACAAACTCCTCAGATTTGCAGAAATTTCGGCAGCACTCCCTCTAGAAAAGTGATATTCCAAAATTTATACAAGACTAACTTCAGATTTTGAAAGTAACTTTGACTTCCCAAAGTTCAATTTTGTCTAACTCCCTGAATTAACAAAAAATTGGGCAGCACTCCCTTTAGAAAAGAAAACTTCCCAGACTTTAACTAAGCCAGATATATGGAAAGGACAAGTTGAACTTTGATAAGTCAAAAGTTGACTAACTTCTTGGATTTGTAGAAATTTCGGCAGCGCTTCCCGTAGGAAAAGTAGCTTGCCAGATTTATACAAAGCCCAGTATAAGAAAAGATCCCAGAAAAATGCAGGAATTGACACTAACTCCTATGGCTCTAGCACGTGGCGAGCAACTAAAACAACTACCTATAGAACTGAAATCTAAACAAACTAGTCATCTCATCCAGTCACATGCAAACCAAACCACAATGCAAGTACTCTCATCATCTCAAGTTCATTCCATATAAATAGCTCGTGAATCTTCAAGTTCCTAAGCCATTATACCCATCTTACAAAAGACATAGAGCTGGACCATTCGCCATGGAAACAATGCCCTGTTTGTCTTTATGATATACATGAACATATTGCACAACTATTTCTTTCTTCCTTTGGGCAGATGACTAGGCCATTCGCCATGGAAACAATGCCTAGTCGCCCTGAGCTGTTTTATATCTAAAGTTTTAGTATCTATCTGACTTTGTTTAAGAAGAAAAGACAATTATGGGCAGGGGACTGAACCATTCACAGTAGAAACAATGTTAAGCTTGCCCCAAACTATTTTCATTTATACTCTGTATTTTTCCTTCTCTCTTCTTAATGATATGGCTTAACGCTGGACTATTCACATTAGAAACAATGCCCAACTGTCAGTTCATATGCAAATATACATAAAAATATTTTCCTTTATACTCAGTTTAAATTATGTGCGTGGTTTTTAGGCTAAATCATTCACCATGGAAACAATGCTTAGCCTTAGACAAAAAATCCTCCCTCAGAATAAACAAGAATTTAAAACCCTTCAATCATACAAACCCTCAGAGTTAACTAAGGTAGCCAGACCATTCACAGTAGAAACAATGCCTGGTTCCTTGGAAAACAATCAAATAAACACAGCGACCAGGCCATTCACAGTAGAAACAATGCCTGGTCCTTCAAAAAACAGCCAAATAAACATAGCAACCAGGCCATTCACAGTAGAAACAATGTCTGGTCCTTTAGAAAACAGCCAATTAAACATAGCCCTGAGCCATTCACAGTAGAAACAATGCTCTGGCTTTGGTTGACCCTTCCAAACGCATGCAAAACTATTTTCCTCCCACCTTCCCCCAGTTTATCCCTTTGTCTGCTTTTAATCATAATAAAAAAAAAAAAACCTTAGGCTTCACTCTCACGCGTTCCTTCCATTCAATCTGATTAGGTCCTGAAGAGAAACAATAATCATAGGGACAAACTCATGCATACATCAATCATACTGCAAGGGGATAAACAAACATGGGTAGTAGTGAATTATACAGATGGAGATGCTATACCTGATGATTCCCTGCATCCAGAACTCCTCCTGAGTTCCGGCAGAGCTCCCGCAATCGGTGGGTGGACTCCCCANTATACAGATGGAGATGCTATACCTGATGATTCCCTGCATCCAGAACTCCTCCTGAGTTCCGGCAGAGCTCCCGCAATCGGTGGGTGGACTCCCCATAGAGTCTTGACGAGGACCTACGGGTTGCAATCCCGCCTGCCGCCTTCCTCTCGTAACCAAGGACTAGACTGAGAGTTAGAAAGGATAGAAGTAGAAGGTAGAGACTCTCAGATACAAAAGAGTTGCACTCAGACTCGCGGGAGAGGGTCTTGTTATCTTGGCTCGTCTCAGGGCCCCTCAATGGTGACCAAGTAAAATAGCTTGATCCCCTTTCAGTCAACCGCAGAACCGACCCTTCTGACGACCTCTCAATTCGTGGCAGTGACCTCCCTTCACAACCACTTCCTCC